TGTAAAAGTAATATTACTGATAACATGCGTGCCTTTATTTATGTTTAATTAATATATGGATAAATATACAATTTTTTTTAAATACGCTGAACTGCGAACGTTTACGCGTTTTATACGCGCTGGCCAAAACAAACTTTTTTACTGTGTCATTTTATTTACATAGTCGTACGTGTGTACCTTTAATATTAATTCTTAGAGTTGCGTAATAGATATCTCATAGAGATATATAACGAGAGACTGAAAAAAGTTATGAGCCTTAACCGGTATAGAAATACAATGTGATATTTGGAGGGATTTTTAGTTTTCCTTTTCACATGCGTTTCAACTGTCTTAGAATAACACAGATAGTTATGCGCAATAGCTTTAATATTTAAAAGATAGATGAGATAAATATAATGATACTATTTTCATAACATAACGCTATGGGTGTGCAAATTCTTAGATGTTCAAGAAGATACATTGGAAATATTTTAAAATTATTTTATAAATAATTTATGTGTGATGCATATATCTGTTTAAATAATATATATTTTAAAACAATTTACTTTATTTTGTCGCCATTATAGCTTGTCGCTTCACTTTTCGAAAACTTAATATAAAGTTTATAAGAGAAAGTTGATTATAATTTGATTTAACTTCTGTGTTATTCTGCGATACAACTGCGATTAAATCGCGATTCTGACTGTACTGATTATTTAATTTATTAGTTTAACTTTTGTTATAGTGGTAAATACAGATGGGAATAATTTTTTAGTAAAATCTACATAACACTAAAAAGCTATTAGGTATAACTAGTAAAGTAATGTGGTTATAAATCATAATTATAAAAAATCAAAGTAGACAGCATTACATCATCGATTTTATATCTTTTTTTTATGTTTGAAAGAATATTTATAATTCCATTCTGGAATTTTTGTGAATTATATACATATATATATTTTTAATACATTGTTAATAATTAACATGTAAAGCTTTAGGCTATTATTGAAACATTCAACCATCTGTAATTTACTACGATGCGAACATATCGTATTGTGCATCAATGTATATCTATTTATATATCTGTATATATTTGTACTTATACCTTCTCTTACAAAGAGAAAAGAACAACATTACTACATACTTCGTACTTACATCTAGCGCGACATTGAAATCAATATCGAAGTAAGATCACGAAGGCTTACTTCATACATCGCTTAGAATTAATCGAATTTTTTATTTCAGAAAATACGGAAAATAAAATATTTTTTCAGCAAATTAACAACAGTTATTTACCAAAATCACCTGGAAACCCTTTGCAATTTAACTTTAATAAAATCCAAAGCATTTCCTCGTAACTGTGAGTCATTACACGTTGCACGATATTGTGCGGCATTGAAGAAAAATTAATGTGATACTGCACTTCATGAATATACATAAGAAAATATTTTTTCCTAGTTAGCCACGCAAAATTGTAGAAACTATAGAACTCGAGTGAATCACGACAATACTTGGTGTATGGCGCGAATGAAGAGTGAATATAGTTGTGCGTCAATTACAATCGATTACATGATTAGGCTATGCGTGCGCTGCTTTAACATTGAGTGAGTGAGAGAGAGGGAGAGAAAGAGAAAAAGAGAGAGAGAAAATTGTTGTAAATATAACGATACGAGTAATAAACATACGAAAATGAGAAAATAAAACAGTAATAAATTATATTTACATAGTAATTATATAATATTATATATATTATTTCACCAATTTTTTCATGGAATACAATAGCAAGAATACAAATACTGTTTGCAATTGGAAAATTATACGCGAATTAGTTAGAACGTTAATTATTCCGAGAGCTTTGAGAAACTCGAGTCTTGATCTTTAAATTAAATCTCTTCCGCATCAAGGAATTAATTAACGCATTAAAGGAATGAATCGTTCGTTTCGGAATATTCTGTACGCAACTTCACACCGAGAAGCTGTAATCGAAATGGCGCAACAGCAGCGAAAGTAGATGCGGACGGTGCAAGCGCAGACGCGCGAGCGGCTTAGTGAACGGGCTTGCTTACAAGGGTTGGGTAATCAATGGCATGGCAGGGCGCTTAAGACCATCTCTAACCACAACACGGTGCAATACGTGGTGGATGTGCACGCAGGAACCACCGTTTTTCATTCTCCTCCTCTCAGGGTAACTCAAAGAGTATCGTCAGTCTGCGTATAAATATAAAAGTAAATATTCTTTGAAATAAAATCATACAGTTCTCGTGTGTAAACAGTTCGCGATCAGCTGCATGACACCCTTCCAGCAATGATGAATCGTGCGGCAGGCTAATTATGTCGCGAGCTCCTTATTAAATAAATGTTAATTGACGAGTGAAAATTCGATTGTCGCGAATCCGCGGTCCACAGCGATGACACTTTGTGACATTGATCTCGCGTGATAAATTGAGTTAAGCGTAAGAAATCGGTCGGGATCGCCCGAAGTGGACCATGAATCATGGATACGTCGCAGGTCGAAAACGACGCAACTTCGGAAGAAAAACGTAAGGAAGGTACGTAAAGATCTTACAACGAGCTCAATTTCAGTGTCACTTGAGCTCGATGAAACCCGAAACGGAGAATATTATGAGTGCATGCTCTTTCATTACGGAACTTGTTCGCCACACTATGTCTTACACCTCATTTGTGAATGGTGTCATTAGTTATTACGTACGACGAATTAAATACTTTGTTTATCGATAAAGTAGACGTCATCTCGCGTCTGAACGATAATTTAATTAGTCAAATTTTTTACTTTTGAAACTGCCATAAGAATTTATATAGAAGTTTGGCATAACAACATCCGCATCGATATATATCTCATCAAAATTTATATTTTAAAATTATTTCTTGCTATTTTTAAAGTGGAGATTTTTTAAATTAATTAATCTGATTTACAAAAGCTTTCGATATTTCGAGTGGAAGTATATGTTTGATTTTGTACATCAAAAAATTGATAACGTTCTGAGCGACAATTTTCACCAAATACTTTTAACCGAAAAATTGTGCTTTTTTTTTTAATTTGTCAACCTTGCGCTTTCGGCATATATTAATAATGCTCTCGATACAATATGTTTATAAATTCTGTTTATTTATTTGACGCTTAATATTGCTAGCTTATTAAAGCGCTATTAAACGCTGACCGCGCTACCAATTTATTCATTTTATTTCAGAATTCGAAATTGTAATTATATTGCAATAATTGTATAACTATAATTTCAAAAGTTCTTGTGCGCTATTATACTTTATCTCAATTATCGTGTTTTTCTGCAATTACCACGAACGTACATTTAGCATTGAATTCCAGGATTGAGAATAATTTCACTTTTGCAAAATCAGATATCGAAACACACGGGAATATAATATAATATCCAAACACAAATTAAAGCACGAGATAATTAATATATTCGCATAGCATTGTACATTTCTTTCTTACTGAAATTATATCAACTTCAAACCTTCCTTTCGGACTTTACAATATTACATTCAGCAAACGCAGAGATTGTATTGCTAATCCCAAATTTGTTGCATTAACGATCAATTTTGGACATAGGACGCACTTTTCTGTAACTACACGGCGAGAATTGATCTTATGGATAATAATATCCAATTTTCCTACAATTCTCAAATGTGGTTGTCGCATAACACGAATTTTAGCGAACGTCGTATATGTGTGCGCGTCGCTGATACACGTTCGTAAATGTACGTCAAGGGATCAACAAGTTTATAGCAAATTCTGAGTAGCCTTGCACCGAATACCTCGCATGTGTCGTTTCCAATTGCGATAACCCGTGTAGCGTGTTGCTCAGCTACATTGAACGCGATCTCTTTCTCTCTCTTTCTCGCGCGCGCGCGCTCTCTCTCCTCTCCTGCCCTCTCTCCCCTCTCTCTCTAATGACATTTTTCAAAGAGCACGCTTGAGCTATGGGTAGCGGAGGAGTTGGTGAAGTATCAACGATATTTCACCCCCGACGATTGCGTCCATCAAATTTAACCTTCAGCGAAGATCAGCAGATTCATGGGCCGTTTGTCACCCCTATTCAGGTTGCACTCCGTGCTTCAGGTAAGCTCGCGTGCGAATATAGATTGTACCGGTCCTATCTACCCTTTTAACCACAGATATCAGAGTGTAAGCTAAAGAAAATCAAAGTTGCTTTAATCGTAAACAATCGCTGTTGTTCTGGCTATTTAATATTGATTATGAAAACATTTCAGCGACCTCTTGACCTTATTTCACTGCTAGCGAAATTTGATTTAAGACAAGTTTATCGATATTTAATGTGGTAACTAAAAATATTAATTATACTGCTTGATTAATTTAATTCTTTCGTTCTCAAATTGTTTAATAGTTAACAACAAAATATTTGTTTGTATTTTTGTGCAAATTACGTAGCGAATAAATTATTCATAAAAAAGTTGACATTTTTAAAAAAATTTAAAGCTTTTTGTATTTGTTATTATTCAGCAACAATTTTATTTTTATTGTAACTGTGTACAATAATTTGCATTGTAAAATTTTTTTCCTTATCTTTGATTAGTAAATCTATTTAAAATATTTCAGGAAAATTATTACTTTTAAACATTAATTGCGTTTAAAATAACTCTTGTCATCGAATTGTGATGGCGAAAAATGAGAGATGATAATATTTTAATATTTTATTGCGAAATTTGTAAATACATATCAAAATACGTGTTTAGAATCATGTATACAAGACTGAAAAGAGCTAATATGGAAATATAAATGGCTATAATATTTTAGTTTATAATTTTAAATACGTAGTTATATAACTACAGTGGGAACGAAAGAGTTAAATTAGATGCTCCTAAATCATAATGCAATTCTAGTTTAAAAATTATAAATTTTTTAAATATTGCTAATATTGGAAAATAAAACAAATAATGGCTCTATACTGCAATAAATTTGTTAGATATAGAATCTGTGACTGAAAGCGAATACAATTTAAGACGATGCTTCGTATTACAATCATTCCAATATCAATTGGAGAATACAACAGACTTAGCAACGGACTGATAGCATTTTGTAGTATCTGCAGTATTTACGGAAAAATATTAATTTTTAAGGAAGCCTGTATTAGCCTCTTAGTATTAGTTTTAATATTAGCATTTTAGCATCGTTAAAATACCGTAACATACGCATAATATTCCGATTTGCCGTAGGTTGCTTAAAGCTCATAAATAAGGCTGCCAATTACATCTATTTTGCCTATTGTAAAGATAAAGCTGCAAACAAACTGCAAAAAATGCTTCAGAAAAGTCGCACGTATCATATTACTTTAAAATGTTAAAGACACGTGCACACAATTGCGCGCACTTCACATGACTTTATTTTCCGACGAGAATAAATATAAAAGTAAATTTAATCCGTAGCTTATTTCGCCTCGAGCACAGATCACGATAATCTAACGATAAATATATAAATTGTCGAATTAAATGTACGTCTTTTTATATATAAATTTAAATTCGAAATTATTTTTATCTCCGAGACACCGTAAGATGATAATTCAGTAAACCGTCAATATTTTAGCATGCGATCAACAGCAGGGATGCACCGATGGTTGCGGCGACTCCGCCTCGAGCTGTCGCACTTTGGAGACAACCGAAAGTGCCACAGGAAGCGGCGGCGGAGGCGGCGATAGTGGGACCGGAGGTGTCCAAGTTCATTCGACAGGTCAAACTCAATCGTCAACTCATGTGACGCCGATTCCAACTCCGGTTGCTCAACAACCACACCATTCAAGCTCAATTGTGGCCTGTTTCTCCTCTTTCTGCGCGAAAAGCGCAAAAAAGGTATTAGAAGGTCAATTGTATTTTTGACTCGAAGCTGAAACCATTTGAAAACCATATTTGCTTATTGTCTGTTTATTTGAAATAATTAGATTCTTTTTGATAAGAAATAAAACAGAATACAAGTTATGTGAGCAAAATGTATTGATTGAAAAATGATTACAATATATTATACTTGTGTAATAAACATATTTTTTTTTTAAGAGATTACCATTTTCTAAAAGTAGTTCTTTTTTGTGTCTGTAATATGTATCACTCGTTGTCAGTCAAACCAATTATTCTTAATTACAGATATACTTCGGAATATGTGTGACATTATGCGTAACCGCGAGTTGGGTCGGTGCGACCCATTGCATTAAGTATTTGTACTTTCATAAGTCAGACGAAATCCTGCAGACGATCGCTTCCGCGAATTCCTCCTCGAACGGACTTCATCATCAACATGTAAGTTTATTCCAATCGATTCATTCATTCCTCTGTTTGATTCCTTGAACGATAACGTCGCGATAATTGTCCACAGATCATCCCTCCGTACAATGCACCCTTCTTCACGACGTGGTTCTGCACCAACTGGGAGGTCCTGTACTTTCCGGTATACTTCATCTGTCGCGCTGTCAGGACCAAGTGCGTCACCCCTTCCGAGATAATTGCTGAGAGCTTTCGCGGTTTTCGCGACAAGGGCTTCACAGGTGGTCGATTTTTAATTAGATGCAGTCTCTTCTGCGCCCTGTGGGTTATCACGAATTATTTGTACATACTTTCGCTGAGGATATTGTTAAGTACGGACGTAATGGCGCTATTTGCGACCAACGTCTCGTGTGTCTACCTGCTCTCATGGGTCATCCTTCACGAACAATTCGTGGGTGTGAGGGTCAGTAATTTGAGAGAAATTTTTTTAATATATAAAATATTTTTGTTGTAAAAATAAAAGCACTATCACCAATCTCTATAATATTTTATTATATTTTAACTTCTTTACGAGTTTATACAACACAAAAAAAGATTTTTGTATGCTTTTTTATGATAAAAGAAAGATCTTCCATTATCAAATTTAACTTGAAATCTTTCTCGTTGTTTGCAGATAGTCGCAGTAATCCTTTGCAATACCGGTATCGCGTTGTTAGCTTATATGGATGGCATAACTGGAAGTCCAACATTGGGAGGTGTTGTTTTAGCTACAGCAGCGGCGGCTGGTTCTGCCGTTTACAAAGTAAGCATACAGTGTCATCTCTGATTTGCATTACAATTACAATATTATGAAAGATAAGATGTTTAATAAATTACTTTCTTCAGGTTCTTTTTAAGAAAGTGATAGGAGAAACCACATTTGGCCAAATGTCTCTATTTTTTTCTCTTATTGGTTTGTGCAACGCCACTCTATTATGGCCGGTTTGTCTCACCCTTTACTTTTCCGGAGTGGAAACCATGTATTGGGCAAGATTTCCGTGGGCAGCATTACTTTCCGCGAGCATTCTCCACTTAGGTCAGAACTTACGTTAAACTAGACTATTATTTAAAACGGAAATATATGTATTTATATAACTAACATGTGCTTTGAACGATTTGTTTACAGTTGCAAATATGATTGGCAATTTCAGCATCGCGTTCACTTACGACTTGTTTATCACTCTTGGATTAATAACAGCTGTACCTGTGTCCGCTGGTAAATAAAATTGATTGACTAGTTTAATCTAAAGTGATGAATCTTAATTTAATTAAATAACTTCAGTACACCAGCAGTATTTAACAATAAAATAAATTGTAGCATTTAACATAAATTTGTGAATAAGAAATAAATGTAGAAATAAGAATAGGAATATTTTTGCTTACACAAGTTTTCAATATAATAACAGAATTGTTTACTTTTAATTTTTACAGCACCGTGAGAAGCTAATTATTAATCTAATTGCAGCTTTGGACATTATTTTCTACGGAGCGTGCTTCGTAGGTATGAAATTAGCGGGATTGATCTTCATAGCAGTCGGTTTCTTCCTCGTCATGTTTCCGGATAATTGGCCAGATTACATAACGAAGATTCTCCGGTATGTTTCTTTAATTCGTATTCCCTCCGTATATAAGTTCTGTGGTATGCACATTTAATTCGGAGTTTATTTATTTCCTCTTTTAGTCTATAATTTTTCTAGTAAGTTTTTTATACGTTCTACATTTATCTATCTTTCTATACATTTTCTTTCTCTCTTGCAACAATATCGGACTGTTGTTTTTTTACCTTATTTGGCACAAAAATAGAAGCAGCGCGTAGTCTTATTTAAGTAGGATGTGCTTGACTTATCTATACACATCTATACAGTTATCTTTTATACTGTCTTAATTTTTTCGATCTTTTGAAAGACATAAGATATATTTAAGTAATCGCTTTCGTAAAAAGTAATATAGATATTTTCCTGAAAATACGCCGGTTTTCGCACAACGTACAATTTCAATATAATCCCATTTCGGAGAAACTGTCTGATCAAACATGACATTAGGAATTGTCTTATCAGTAAGAAAAGTGCAAACTATTATTTTAACATATTATTCACCGTTATATTACTTAAGGTCGTTTAGAAAATTCTTAAGTTTCGATCTAAGCTTGTGTTCATACAATTCTTGTAATTTACTTTGCATTTCATCAGCCACTTTGCAGCTTTGCAGCTCACGTTATCCATACATGCCATATTTTCAGATTACATGAAATATTTTGTTTCGCTAAATAGAGATGTCATACAGAAGCAATTATGTCGAGTATGGTTTCTTTCGCATTTAGAGACAACTTGTGCAACACCGTCACGCTTTACGAAAATTCAAAACTTGTATTGATATTATTTTACAGGATGCCTGGAATATGCAACAGATTTAAAGTACAATTAAATGAGTACATTTTGTAGCAAGAAATACACATTTACGTACACACACGGGCAATAATGTAAGCAGGCTAAAAAAGTTCAAATATTTTGCGCAGTTTTGTTCGAAATATCAGATTCCTTTAAATACATCAGGAACTTAATCAATGTGAAAACCAAACTATCTTTCGTTTAATTTTTATATTTAATACTTTTTAGATTTTGTTGTCTCGAGAACAGTATCTTTGGTACATAATTAAAATAAATTATGCGTTTGTCATTTTTTTATACGATTTTTTATGGAGAAAGTTTAATAATGAATATTGGTAAAAATATGTTTCTTTTTATTTTATTTTTACTCTTTTCATACTTCAAAATTTTTGCATCTACTTAAAAAAGTATTTTTTTTTAAACCAACATATTATAATTTTTCAATTTTATTGTTTATCGGATATTTTCATAACAAAAGTGCACATTGTTCCACTCTTGGAGCTTGATTTGCTTAGGCAGAAAAATTGGGAAAATAAATGATTGGATTGCTTGAGCTGCTCGTTGTATATTGTTTATAAAATCGATGTCGACACTTCATCACTCGCTTCCCAACAATCAGGATCCATTATATGCTGTTACAGAAACGTAGTCCTCATGAGTCACAGTACAAGGTAAGAAAATACATTCTATTCGTCTTGCTCTGGCGCTACCGAAAATTCATCTTTTTTTGCAACAATTATCAGGACATTTATTTTAAACATCACAAATTGCAACACAAAGCAAAAAAAGAGCTCTTCGGACAATTTCATACATAAAAATTAACGCGATATGTGTGTATGTGTGTGCGTGCATGCGTGCGTGTATGTGTGTGTAAAAGTTAAAATGTTCAATAAATTATATCAACATTTCTATATGACATTAAAAAAAAAACAGTTGAATTTTTATGGTAGAATATATTCAAATATTTCTCAAGGATAATTATATCGTACGGATAATTATTACAAAAAATTTATTTTTGGATGTAAATCAATAGTCACAAACTTATTTTACTACGCAATCGGATAATAAAGAATATCTCGCAATAAATTAATTGTTATTTCCGATGAATTTTCCGTAAAAGAGCAAGCGGTATAAATGTCAATAGGCGCATGATTTGTAACATTTTTTTCCCCATTTTTTTCATTCTGCATGCATACGTTTGAGCTTGGCTTACTTTTCATTGACTCTTAAAACAAGTAGTATGTCCATTTTCTCTCTCTCTCTCTC